CCCCCCGGGCTGCTGTGCTCCTGCCTGGGTTGACCAGCCTGGTGGAGAGCACCAGGTTCCCTCTGAGACCGTGAGCCAGGGCCGAGGGAACATGGTGTACCGCTGTGCCCTCTCTTTAAGCCTAGAGATGCTCCCATAGCTGACAGCTGGAGGGTTATATTGCAGGCACGCTGTGTAATAAACTTTGTATTGAAAAGAAGTTCTGTTGTTGTATGACTTACTCTTGGTACAGGAGGCCATGATTATGTTTCTTACTGGGAAAACCTTTTTTTCTGGCCTGCTGATTCTGGCATTCGTTTCTCCTGTCTTGATAGCTGCTGTATCCATCTTTCTTTTACTGCCCTGTCTCCCTTAAGAAACAAATCAGCTGATCTGGTATAACTCATTCAGACTGATTATTCCCATCATTCAGTATCTTGAGACAGAATGACTTTGAGCAAGGTAGGAGAGCTGCTTTTGTGAAAGAATGCTTAGATTGACTTGACTGTTGCAGGTTATTAAAGTAGCTACATCCAGCATACCCAAAATAAAGATGATGAATACTTAAACACCTGAATAACGCTGTATTGGTGTGCACTTTTATCATGCGTGCCGTACTCAAGTGTTAAGCAATATCAAGGGATTTTAAAAGAGCAGAGAGAATTAATTTTGACTGAATGCGGTAGGGTTCCAGTTAATTTTGTGCCCAGGTTGTGACCACGAGGTCAAAAGGGAATACTGTCCTTGATGCCTAGTATTGTACTAGGCCTGTTCTGCCCACTATAGAGCTTTTGCCTTTAGTTACACAGCTACTTTAGTGAGAATAGGGGATAAAAAGGAGGGAAAGTGGAAACTGTAGTGCTTTGAGTGTCTTCAGAACCAGGGCTGTAGACCTTTTTAACAATGGAGGCATATTTTATGCATGTTGTCCCTAGTATTTAGGGACAGACCTGGAAGTATGTAGTAGTCTTTATCTGAAGCTCTAGGTAGAACGTAAGAATGGAAGCCTGATCCTGTGTGAAAGTGTGTTTGTTTGTTTTTAATTTTTCCCTTTAAGAATGTTAGGAAGTCAGAATTCATAATGTACTTTTAAAGCCTTTGGAAAACTCTTAGCAGTCTTGTTTATGCTGTTGGACAACTTAAATCTCAGTTGGCCAAGTGCGGTCCCACTTTTTCTTCTTTTTTTTCCTCACTTCCTCCAGTATCCAGCACTGAGGAGTTAAACTAGAACAGATTCCTCCTCCTTCCTATTTATAAATGTTCATGAATGTCTGTTTAGAAATGGATTCACTGTGCTTTAGTCTTCAGGACCATAACTTCTCTTTTTCTTGGTAGCAATAATAAAAAAAACATTTTTTCCTAAGGTATTTCCCTGTCTCTTACTTGTCACCTTCCTCTGTTTGTGATGAGGAAAAAAAAAAAAAAAAAAAAAAAAAAGGGATAGGTCAAGCCTCTCATTGTAGAAAGCCTGTACAGCAACTTCTGGTTAAGGTGATTGAGCTTCCAGTTTTGGAAATAAATGTTCTTTCCTCTCTGGAACTCAGAGATTGTTATGCCGTCCCTGCTTTTAACTCTTCAAAATCATGTTGGTGAGGTACAGTTGCATTGAGTTTAATCTTGTTGGGATGATAGAATGAAAAGAAAACTGGAAGTTACATTGCGACACGTAAAATAGTAATTCTCTAACAATTACATTATACCATATGTAGTGTTTTCCAGTGGGTTGTAAAATAGAACGCTGAGAATCAATGTTGAGGAAGTAGCCGTGGGTGGTCTGCAGAAGGAACTTGCATTAAATGAACCTGCAGGAATTGCTTTTCTAAATCTCACTTAGGAAAGATACTATTTAGTGCACTTTGAGTAACTTGGTTCCTATTTTTTTGTGATCTCTCTGCATAGTACGGTCTTGTGTCTGTATGCGGTCTTATACCTGTATATACTTTAGCTTACTTGGCTAATGTTCTTGTAGACTCTTTGAAGAGAAGTGAGCTATCTCTTAGAACAGGTGTGTTAGAAACTTAATGCTGTAGTGACGCTTAATAATCTTTTGTTGTGGAGATATTACTTGTTTGCCTTGCTCTGTGTACTTCTCTATCTGCTTATAAAGAACCCTTTGAAGAAAGGGCCCTTTTTCTCTTAACTTTTATATGCTAACCTCTTTCCAAATAGTTTCTGTTATAAAGGATGACGTTATAGAGGAACGTAAGGTTTGGTTGTTTGTCTTGTCCCTAGCAGCTTCCTTCCAATACAATTTGACGTGTACTTGGTCCTTGAACAAGAGCTTAGTTGCTAAATCCCCTCCCCTTTTACTGAATTCCCTTTCTTGTAGTATGCTAGCATCGCTTAGCCCTCCTTTGGGCCTCTTATATTTTCTAGACCTTTTGAATAAAGCAGGGACTTTGATATACCATAGGAAGCTGTTAAGTGTTAAAGAGAAGTTAGCTTTTGTTTTTTAAGATATCCAGGATGGATATAGAGCATGTATCTAAGTAAAAATTATTATGCTATGTTGTATGTATTTGTAAGGGGGGGGCCAGAGACAAGTGGACTCTATGCCTTCTCTGCTGTTTCAGAATTTAAGGTAGCTTCATTTCAGTTTTTATCCAAATTAGACTTTGGAAAGTTTTGTAGCATATATATATATATATATGTTTTTTTCCCTACTGCCTGGATAACTAGAAAACCATCTACTGGTGGCAGTTTTTTTTTTGAAGTAGCAATGAAGTAATTGCTTAAGTTTGTGGTGTGACATGTTGTTTGTGAATTTAGTTCCCAGTAATACAATATGAACCATTGTGCCACATGAATACATTCGAAGTCCTTCAACTTTCTGATTGTCTTTGACACCTTTTACAAAATGCTTCATTACCATTGCAGATGAAAATGTTCTCTGTTGGCTGTGTCAGGCTAGATGGCATAATTTAACATATGATTAAACTGAAATAAGTTTGTAACAGTCAAGGAAATAGTCCTTTAGGCTTGTATGTGATGAGTGAAGTTGTCCTGTTTGCTTTTAATTTCCTCATAAACAAAATGTCTTTCTGTGCTGAAGTTGTGCTAGTGCCCGTGGCCTGGATGTGCTAAACTAGACACTGCATAAGCACTAGTGACAAACTTGAGCAGATGTTATCCTGAATCTTGGAATTCTGTATTACGCTACTTTAAAAAAAGGGAGAGAGGGAGAAGGGCAGAACGACAAAGCATTTTAGTAGGTACTGTTTTTTTCTATTTTTGTTTTCTATGACCTGTGAAAGACTACAAAAATACCATTTAGATAATACAGACTATTTGCTGAGATTACTCTGTACTCATTAACGTATTCTAGGGGACTGTGAAAACAAACAGTACCGCAAAGAACCTAACCATTAACAACTTTTACATGCTGAAAAATGTGGTGTCATGACATAAGGCAGACATTGGTATGCCAGATTGTATTTTTCTTTCTTAAATTAGATGCTACGCTCATTGGAAGCTCAGTAGGAGCTAGGAGATTGTTCTGAGAGGTGAGATGCAACGGATTGGTGTACGACGATATCTTGCCTTTGTGTGAGGCAGTGACCCCTAAATCTGGAGGGGGAGAGGGGGAAGATTCCTGAAGCAGCATATGGAATGTGCATAGGGAATATGTTACCCTGGGGTGGTTTTGATGCTTTCCACCTTTGTGTAAGGATGGTTTAACTGTATGTGTGGTAGCTGTTGAACTGCTACAGTTTGCTAATTTAGCATAATATGCTAGACTGTAGTGATTTTGGTTTACGTTAACACACCAATTGTAAACTGTATCAGTCTGACTGCTACCATATGAGCAGCAGAGTTGTCTGTGTATTGAGGCGAAAGAGAAAAGTGAAGAGTAGGAGCTAGCGTTGACCACTGCAAGGGATTAGGATAACTGGTGGAAAACAAGATCTGGGAGTTGATGTTTCTTTCCTAAGGCTGCCTCTCCCAAGTCTCAGTGTGTTGCAGCATGCCGTTCAAAATATGCTCCTGTATAGCCTCTGTGCTGAGTTGTTGATAATTAAGCACAGACCTCAAAACACAATCCAGAAGAAACTTGGGGGGGGGAAGTGTTTCTCTGTGTACAGCGAAGTGTTTTTATGCAGTAGAATGTGATAACTCCTGTAAAAACTGCAGCATCAAAGAACACAGTGTCTCAGTAAAAAGCCTCATAAGCATGGAACAGAAATAATGTCTGACAATGTGATTGCAGAAGACTTCAGAATTAGCTTAGTACTTGTAAAAATTGTTCTGAGTTTCTGTTGACCACGATGAAGAAATTGACATGTGGTAAATTGCTATAGAACAGCGGAGCCAGTGTGAGGGGAATCATATTAGTTTCACTGAGTATGGATGGAGTATTTGGTCCAGTTACTGCCCCGAATTGACTCTTCTAATTACAGTACACAGATATCTTCTGAATTTTCTGTATTTGATCACTGTCCCATTTTCTTTTTGATGCGACTTTTTGTATTATTTTGTGAGACTTTAGAGCTATTTATTTTACATGTCTTGTGGGGAAAAAATAAAATATGTATATACCTTGCATTTGTGCCATTGGTAATGCTACTTTTCAAAGAGATTGCAATCTTGTTTCAGAAAAAATATTTCTAAGGAAGTTTAGCTCTTGTTAAGTTCTGAGGATTTTTTTTAGAGTTGTTTTTTCTGTCTCTCTCTCTTTTTTTTTTTTTTTAATTTAAGCTAAATAGATTTTTCTTTGTTTAGCTTAGGGCAATAAATGTAGATCTCCAGACTGATGCTGCTCTGCAAGTGGATATTTCAGATGCTCTCAGTGAGAGGGACAAAGTGAAATTCACTGTCCATACAAAGGTAAAAGCCTGGGTTTGTACACTGAAAATTTTCGTAATTATATATTAAGAAACTTTGCTTGAACTATTCATCGAAACAAATGTAACACTGTCCAAAGGAAATGAAAAATAGCATAATCTCTTGTTTCAGAGATATCAGCTGCAATGCTCAAGAAAAAATTCAGATCACAAAATATTGCTTAAATTTAAAAAAGAAAAAAAAAAAAAGGAAGGCAACCCAAAACAGCTTAAAAACTGACTTGCAGTTTTTTGGATTGTTGTGTTGTCATGTTATTCCAATGCTTAGTAATTGGCCTATTTGCAGGTATAATCTTTAGTATACCTCAATATTCTTCGATATAGTTTTCATAAATTAGATACCATTGTTTCAGATTCTAAAAATATATTTCATAATGGAATTATATTCAAGTTTTGTTAATAATTCCTGGTCATTTACTTTTTGTTTTTTGGACTCAAAGATTTATTGAGGGCAGAATCACTCACAGAATAGTTGAGGTTAGGTGGGACCTCTGGGCGTCATCTAGTCCAACTCCTTTGCTCAGATCAGAGTGAACTAGAGCAGGTTGCTCAAGGCTTGTCCAGTTGGGTTTTGAGTTATTTCCAAGGGTGAAAACTCCACAACCTCTCTAGGCATCCCATTCGAATTGACTGATGTACTAATTAACATAGGGATGATTATTACTGTACAAACATTTTTTTCAAAACCTTATCTGGATGCTTGTGTTGTTTTTACACAGATTTTTTTTTTTTTACTGTTCCTTTAAGGCTTTTTTTCATAGAGTAATGAAAAACATTGATTTTTTTCCCCATAATTTCTCCCTCTTTCCTCCCTTCAGAGTTCCTTACCAAATTTCAAACAAAATGAATTTTCTGTTGTTCGTCAACATGAAGAATTTATTTGGCTTCATGATTCCTTTGTGGAGAATGAGGACTATGCTGGATATATCGTAAGTACTACAGTTCTTTCATTTTATTCGTGCTGTTCTCCCTGAACTGGATCAAAAATACTTATGACTACTTTTAAATACAGGGGGAGTGGAAGGTGTTCATTCCTTCTATAATCAAACCTGATGCTTTACTGCTTTGTTTTATGCAGTTATGCAAAATTAATGTTTGAAGTAAACGTGTAGGAAAGTCATTGTAATTGTAGTATTCCTTGTCTTTTAGTCCTGAAGAGTGAGTGGTTTAATGTTTTATCTGTATCCTAGTGTAGTTTTAGTCCACAGTGTTAAATGTGGGAGTTAGGTAAACTTTATAACGTGGTGCTATTGTTCTTGCAAGCTACTGTGTAACTTAGTTTCAAGTTTCCGTTGTATTAGCTGGAAGAGTGCAGTAACTAAAGTCTGTAATAATTAAGCTTTTCCAGTTTTCATTATGAGGATCAGAATCATTTTCCTGTAAATCAGTTGGAGAAAAAAACCCAGCAAATATCACCTGGAACTGCAGAGAACCTTAATACCCAACAGCTTTTGCTTTGTAGTTTATTTAAGGCGTGCAGGGAATGGATGTCCCCAAAGTAGTTACCTTATGACAGTACCTGTTAAAATTGGATGCTACTGTTCATACTTTAATTAAAAAGGGGAATATTTATTATCTTGGTGTGAAAGTTATATATTTCATTTTGTATTTGAGTGAGGTGATCTACTGATTCAGTAGATAAATGTATATTTCCGATTGACTAATGGGTACGTTCTGATGAAACTAGTCTATGATGTGTCATACTGTTCTTGAGCTAGTCTTTTTTTCAGTAAGAAAAGTTATTTGGAGGGAAAAGACCTTCAGTATGGTAGTAATTAGTTTCAAATGGTTGACTGAGTAGACTGAATTTTTTTTCTTTTTGGTGAAGGATTAATATAATGGGTTAATACCAGTGAACTTAAATTTGAGGGTAGCCTAGCTTTGTTTTGTCTCTTTATTCATTGCAGTCCAGGATCAGTTTGACTACAGTGTTTCCTCTTTCAACATTAATGTACTATATTACAAGATTAACTAACCTAGAGACTTATCTTTTTTGTACTTTGTTGTTTCAGCAGATGTATCTTTAATGTCAACAGTGCTGCAAGAAAGAACTAGTGTCTGTAAATAATACAGAATGGTTTTTGGTTAAGTGTTTTCAGGAGTCATAAATGGATGGTGTGCAAACAATTGTAGGAATTCTTTGTTTCTTTGAACAGAAACATTACTTACCGAGTAAGCTAAAGCAAGAATAACTATAACATTGTGGTTTAAAGTTTTAATTCCCTGTATTGGGAAAGTTAGGTGTTGTTTGATTTCTGTTGTAATTGAACTACTGAAACCATTACTTAATTCTTCAGTAATCTTCAAGGACACTTGACCAAAATTAGCATAGTAATGCAGGATGTCTAACCTCTTTGTAAGAGAACGTACCCATAAATACCTCAATAAGCAAGGAAAGAGAGAGCCATGTATTAAAAAAGCTGCAAGCAACTTGAAAAAAACAACACTTTAATTCATTTCCAGATTCCACCAGCACCACCCAGGCCTGACTTTGATGCCTCAAGGGAGAAATTGCAGAAGCTTGGAGAAGGGGAAGGATCAATGACTAAAGAGGAATTCACCAAGATGAAACAAGAACTGGAGGCGTATGTAGACATGATTATTACTCCCCTCCCCTTCTTAATGCTGTTTACTTTTCCATGTTTCTGATTTCACTCTAATGGTCCTTTATGCAAGATGTAGGCTTGAGAGTCCAGTTGCTGCATAACCAGGATTATCTTAGTGATCATGATCAGAGCCAGTAGGAAAATTGGAGAAATCATTGCCCAGAAGTTATAACAATTTCATAAAACATTTTCTGAAACAGGAAGAAAATCTGCATGTTCTTGAAGCATCCTTTTTAAGGCAACAACTTTTTAGCTCCTTTTCTTCACAGAACGCTTATGAAGGGAAGCAGCCTCAATCTTTTTTTTCATTCTGGTGTTCCACGTTATTTATAAGTATAATGAAACTTTAAGGTTTATACATACAGTCATTGAACTAAGTTTTTTTTTTTGCATATTTTTGGTACTGTAAGCATAGATGCCAACCTTCTGTTTCCCAAAAAGTTTGGAGATTACTAGCAGATCTTCCCCCCCCCCCTTTTTTTTTAAACGAGAATCCCTTTTTTGTACAAGTACGCTTCCTGAAAATAGTATCTTCTGTTACTGTGAATTTAATGTGAATCAAAAGATTTGGAGTAATGCTCTTTGTTCTATATTGAGTTACGTAGTGACGTTTCTCCTTGCTCCATCCACTTTCATTGTCACGCACTCACTTCCTTGATCTTTTTCCTGTTGTTGATTTTAGTCAAGTGTATATTTACACTGCTTCTAGACTGCTTCCCTCAAGAGCCCTGAGTTGTCAAGAAAAGGGTTCTTCTCTTAGAACTGCTTCTTTCTTTCCACCCTCCAGCTTCTGTGAGCAAATGTCTTTAAAAGCCCTATGTTAGAGTGATACATACAACATCATTTGATAGCGGAGTAGATATACACTTCATATGCAGAAAACTGGAAGTTATCAAAACACTATAAATTTTGAAGAATCTGTGGTTTTCCAGCGGCCCTGATCATGATTCTCTTGTGGTCTGGTTAGGGGTTGGATAACACAGAAAACTTGGGTTTTCTTCTACTGCCACCTCCATCCTCTGCATCCTCCTTTTTTGTCTTCACTGAATGACTACTACTCTCACTGAGATCAAACATCTCCCAACACTGGCCCTGCTGGTTTGCTGGTATGTAAAACTTAACCTCCTTGCACATAGTGGAAGCAGAAGTGTTGATTACCGTTTCACTGTTTGACCTGAGAATGGGGAAAAGAGCCCCTTCCTCACATCTGGGAAAGTTACATTTTATTAATTGAAATTTATTAAATGAATTCTAGCAAACTTGTATTGATAAGAATGTCTTCCTCTTAATTAAATCACAACTAATATTTGCTTTAAAGTTGAGTCGGTTGAACTGGACAACTTCGTGATTGTCCCGATGAAACACGATTTTTGGTTGCATTTATCAAATGCAGCACTTAATTTCACTTTTAGAACCACTATGAAGCAAAACTTCCATGTAAGCTTCAGCCCCAAAAGGCTAGATGCTTTAATGTGGAATAAGAGACTGCTGATCCAACGAGCTAATGAACAAAATGGGCATTTAAAGACAAACAAGTAAGGAGGGTGCAAATAGGTCAGGGGATGGAGATGGGGGGAAGTAATTTGCACATCAGCTATGTACTGTCTGTAGTCTCTATCTCAGTTTCTTCGTTTTTTGGGCAGGTGGGGGAAGGACGCTTAAAGACGGGTTAAGTTTGTAGCAAACCAGTCTGTATGTTAGCTAGTCTTAAAAATTAGAATATGTTTGTCGAGTCCTCTTTAAAAGACTGTATATAGTATGCTAGGGTTTCACATTTCCCCCCTTGTATTAACATTGTACTATGTTTTTATATACGTATCAAATATCAGAGTGATAACCTTTGCTATGTCAGCTTACAATCTTGTATCCTCGCTGAGGGTATCTTAAAACTTCTCACTAGGCTTATTTGAAACTTAATTGCTTCATGTGAAACTCTGATGTCTCCTGTTTCTTGTTTTCAGTGAGTATTTGGCAATATTCAAGAAGACAGTTGCAATGCATGAAGTGTTTTTGTGTCGTGTGGCAGCACATCCCATTTTGAGAAAGGATTTAAATTTCCATGTCTTCTTGGAATATAATCAGGATGTGAGTACTGAAAAATGAATTTCTGGCAAGAGAAATCAAGATGTACTTTTATGGTAGCATGGAAATTTGATAAAAAGGCTTTACCTCCCAAAGCAAATTGCATCAGTTCCTTCATACCAGGCATACTTCTACTTTAAAAGTTAAAAATTAATTTAGCTCTATAGGAGTTCATTCTGCTGCCACCTGGGGGACCAAATGCTCTCTGTGCCCTAGCTTAAGCATTACAAATATTTATGTGAAACTAATATGCTTTGGATTAAAAAGATTAACTTTTGGTAGTGATTTCACATGACATTATACTTGTTCAGTCCTTGACTGAAATTTTGTTGAAAAAGAAAGCATGATACAACAAAAATGGAATGCTAACTTTTAGGATTTGGAACTGCAGTTTAAATTGACATATTTGATTAGAAATCTTCTTTGATTGTTTTGCTAATAAAAGGGTTTTTTTAATAATGTCGGTGAAACTTCAATTAGTATTAGTGCCACGATAACATCGTGACAAATTGGTTCCGTTGAATACGTATTTAACTTCAGAATATGTTAAAGCTGATGCTCTTATTGCTTGATGTAGCAGTGTCAACTGCTCAGGAAGTCAGTCAGTCTTTGTAAATTTGGGCAAATTTAGACTGCCAGGAAGAGTGTGAGGAGACTGAAACTGAGGCTGTCAGTACAGTGAGCAGTAAGAGCTTGTACTTCTGAAGGCAAAGTGCCTGTCATTCTGCTACTTAGAAGAGCAACATCTGGTTATATTAGCTTTACTTATCAACAGCTTCACTGTGAATGATAAATATTGTATTATTAAAAACTTGAACATTCACCTCAGGCGTTTGAAATTACTTGTAAGTGCCGGGATGTTGTTGTCTTTGCTTTGTTTTGTTATTTCCTGGAAGAGGACATCAGGGGGTAAAAGAATGTCTAGTTTGTAAGGGTAGTCTGTCTTTCTGGAGTACATGGTACCTGATCTCCATTAAGGCATAGTATAAGACTAAGAAGAGAGCGGGAAAACTGGTTTAGGGTAGCAAGTTTTGCTATGTAGCGCCCCCTCCCCCTTTTGTTAAAAGACATGCTTTTATTGTCTCCAGCAAATGAGCTAACATGACATATGAATTTATTTTTCAGTTGAGTGTTCGTGGGAAAAATAAGAAAGAGAAACTTGAAGACTTCTTTAAAAACATGGTTAAATCGGCAGATGGTGTCATTGTTTCAGGAGTAAAGGTGATTACTACTTAGTGTTTCAAAGTTAAGAATTTAACATTGTTGTCTTTTTTTTTTCTTTGTTAAATGAAACAGAATTTTACGTAGCTACAAAAGGGATACTTTGTTGTTTTGGTTATATCTAACTTAAGAATTGGAGGCAGAGGGTGGGAAGGGACCCGTGATTCTGCAAACAAGATCCAGGTGAGCATGCTGATTAGGTCTTCTGTTTAAGTACAAGCTGTTGAGTTGAGAGCATGCATTTTCGTGTAGTTCTTCTTTTCTGGCTAATAGCAGAAGGCATCTTGAATTACATACCTCTCTGCTGGTGGGCTGCATCTTCCTTTATTTTTATTTATTTATTTATTTTCCTTTTTCTCCCTTATCTAGTGAGAATTTTCAGACTGCTTCTGTGAGAGAGGATTTTCAGTACTCTCTTTTCCCCTGCTTTATGAAATTATGTACGGATAAGAAAAATGCTTAATCCACAACCTGATTTTCTTCTGGCCTACCATTTTATGCTATGCATATGCACATCTTTAGCAACTGCTGCTGCTTAGGAATTACTAATACAGCAGTGAATCTTATTTGCCTTATAATGTCCCTCTATTGTTTCAAAGCTGTGAGCAGTGGTAGAAGTGCTGTTTCGGGGTTTTTTTTTTTTTTTTTTGCCCTCCCCTTCCCCCCCCACAGTAGACTCTCAAGAAGATAACTGAGACAAAGAAAATTCAATTTTATTTTAATACTTTTCCAAATTTAAAGGGATATTTTTATAGCAAACTTAAATTTTGTAAATTTGATTGTGATCTCCTTTAGTGGTAATTTTCCATTTGCAAGCAAGTTAGAGGAGCTAGCGTTCTGAGCTGTAAAATCTTTCATTCAGAATTTATTGGACTGTGGATATACCATGGATTAATTATGATTCAGCAAAGGATATAAAGGCAAAATAACTAGCACCTTTTATTCAAAAAGCGTATTTCTCAAACCCTATGTTGTAGACTTTTACATAGTATTAAGGAGCATCCATGCTATTTTAGAAGTTTATTTTAAGTAAATGTAAATCAACTATCTTCAAATAGTAATACTGTAACTATTTTAATTTACCTACCACAGTAGGTATCCACAGCAGTGGATGCTGTCTACGTTGACTTCGTTGAGTAATGTGTTTGGCACTGGCTCCCATAACATCCTCATAGGCAAGCTGATGAAGTATGGGCTAGATGAGCAGACAGTGAGATGGACTGAAAATGGCTGAATGGCAGAACTCAGAGGGTTGTGATCAGTGGCACAAAGTCATGTTGGAGGCTAGCAACGTTCCCCGGGAGTCTATATTGGGTCCAATCTTTTTCAACTTCTTCATCGATGACCTGAATGAAGGCACAGAGTGCCTCGTCAGCAAGTTTGCTGATGATACAAAACTGGGGGGAGTGCCTGACACACCAGAGGGCTGTGCTGCCATTCAGAGGGATCTTGACAAGCTGGAGAGATGGGCAGAGAGGAACCTCCTGAAGTTCAACAACGGCAAGTGCAGGGTCCTGCACCTAGGCAAGAATAATCCTATGCAGCAGTCCAGGCTGGGGGCTGACCTGTTGGAAAGCAGTTCTGCAGAGGATGACCTGGAAGTCTTGGTAGACAAGCCTACCATGAGGCAGCAATGCGCTCTTGTGGCCAAGAAGGCCAATGCCAGCAGGTCGAGGGAAGCGATCCTTTCCTTCTCCTCAGCCCTGGTGAGGCCTCAGCTGGAGTACTGTGTCCAGTTCTGGGCTCCCCAGTACAAGAGAGACATGGCACTCCTGGAGAGAGTCCAGCAGAGGGCTACCAAGATGATGAGGGGACTGGAGCATCTCTCCTATGAGGAAAGGCTGAGAGAGCTGGGCCTGTTCAGCCTGGAGAAGAGAAGACTGAGGGGAGATCTCATCAATGTGTACAAGTATCTGAAGGGAGGGTGTCAAGAGGATGGGGCCAGTCTCTTCTCCGTGGTGCTCAGGGACAGGACAAGAGGCAACAGGCAGAAACTGAACCACAGAAAGTTCCATCTGAACATGAGGAAAAATTTCTTTGCTGTCAGGGTAGCATTACTCGGGCAGGTTGCCCGGAGGGGTAGTGGAGTCTCCATCCTTGGAGATATTCAAAACCCACCTGGAAACAGTCATGAGCAACCCACTCGCCCTGGCCCTGCTTGAGCAGGGGGGTTGGACTAGACGATCTGCAGAGGCCCCTTCCAACCTTGGCCATTCTGTGATTTGCACGACTGTATTTTCCCCACCCCCTTACCACTTCAATTTTTCTAGGTAGATGTCCTATTATTAAGTAACTGACATTTATCCTATTTTTTTCTATCGCAAAAAAAGTGATATTTGGTAGTGAACTTTTTTCTTCACTTGAGGTTTAGTGATCTAGACCTTTAGCCTACTTGTTACACATTCATAATATTAAACTTCAGATCATGATGAAATAAGAAATCAATATGCATTAATGGCATTTTATAAAATAAAAGTAGATTTCATTCCATGTCACCCTAACTGCAATATGTGCAAATTTGCTCTATATAAATTGCACTAAAAAGGGTGAATGAAAGCCTGTTTTTGAAAATGTTCTTTTTTTGTAGGATGTGGATGATTTCTTTGAGCATGAAAGAACATTCCTTGTAGAATACCACAACCGAGTCAAAGATGCCTCTGCTAAATCTGATAAAATGACAAGATCGCACAAAAGTGAGTTCTTTTTCCACGATGGAAACGTACTAGCTAAAATGTACAGAAATAGTTTGAGAGGAACGGTATTTTTTTTTAACATAGAAAGACTGAATAAGTTTTTCCAAGTGTAGACTTCTAACAGTATAAAGAAGTTTAATCTGACTTTCAAAGCTTAGCCTTTGCTATAATAGAGTAAGATGGAGTAAGAATACTTCAGATGGAGTAAGAATAGCATGCTGTCACACTGGGGACATCTTGATTCTTCATGGTGTCCCTTTGAAGAGACACACAAAACTATGTAATAATATTTATTTTTAAGTCTGCTTCTGAGTCTTTAAAGTGTAAAGGCGGGTAGCATGGCAACATTTATGATTTAAATTCTTTTATGAAGTTACTCCTAATTGGATGATCTTGCACTCATCAGGGGTCGGTTGCTTGGCACACTAGGCATTGTGTTGCCTCGCTGAACAGCAAACCCTTTCAAGATATTATTTCTAGACCAGGAGGTCAGATTTCTGTTTTTGAGCCGTTTAAACTGGAGACTGAAGTGGTGGCTTCAGTAGCTTGGTTTGTAAGACCCCTTCTCTTAATAGGCTCAGTTTCTCCATTTAGTTATTGATGTCTTTTCCTGAGCTGAATGCTAGCTAATGTGTTTTTTTTTTTTTTAGAAGCTCTAGAAAGAATCTCCTCAATTGCAGCGTGCACAGTTGAAAAAATGGAAAACTTCTGGTTTAGAGAGATATTAATAACATTCTGAGAAACTCAGGAAGAAATTGACCTTCACTGCCCTTGATTTTAAGGTTTTGTGCTACAGATAAATCACAGTTGAACTAATAAATATTGCCTACTTCCTTGAAGTTTCCATCTCTGGTTCACAGACTGTGTCTTTGCTATCTGTAGTAATAGAGTTCTCACAAAACCAGGCCGCAAACTTTCTATGCATCTCCAGTAGTGTGCATTGTAAATCTGTGGGTACTGAATGAGAGTTTGAACTATGAGCTTGGGAGCTTTTCAGGTACTTCCCTTGCCATTATTTGAAGACCGCATCTTTTGTAGCTTTAATATCCATCGTAAGAGATGGGGAAGAGCTGGTTACAATTTAATGCGAGTATTAAGTGACCCTGTGTCTTCACTCGTTTCCTGCCTGAAGTAATTTCTAGTGTTTTGTTTGCTCTCTTAAAATGAAAATTGAACTTCATTCATGGCAGTTAGGTACCAAACTGGAGGTGTTGAGAGAACCTTTCGTGTCAGTGTAGAACCAGGAAAAAATGTTACAAAATCAAATAATGAAGGATCTATTGAAAAGATTGATGAAACTCATGACAAAGCTTCACTAGTGTTCACACTTAAGACCTCTAGGATATTTATTGGCAACGTTTATCAAACTGAGTATTTGGATAAGTGGTGCCTGTTGAAATTCTGGCTGGAGGAGTAGAGCGATGACCTGGGAAGCTTGTTTTGGAAACTGGCAACCTGTGGTTTATGAATAACCTACTGGTGAGCTACAGTGAGCTACAATGTTTGCAAAGAAACTGGCTTCCTATTTCCAGCAGAAAATCTATTTTTATATTTGGAAGAGGGGAGTGGAAGTGAAGTAGATACCATTAATAGTAGATACTGTAGTAGATACCCTAATACTGTTCTTCGTTGTAAGCAGTTGCAATAATTCCATCAGGATGGTATGGAAAAAAGTGTGTTATCTTCACTGTAATTCAATCCATTAAAACAAGGTTGTGTTATTAAAGAAAAAAAAATTAATTCTGATGACGTTTCGATACGATAGAATTGGTTTTAATTTTGTTTTATTTTTAAGGTAATTTGTCCTGAAACTTCTCAGATATAAAGATTTATGTGCTTAAAGCATGTAAACTCTGAAATTAACAAGTAAATATCTTTTTCTATTCACTGAATGTAATTATTAGTATTTTCATCATCCATTGAGTTCATATGAAAACCTCTTGGGGAAAAAAAAATCTTCTGTATAAAGATTTGATTTTTTTTTTTGTTTAGTATATAACAGTATCTCACTAGTCAAATGATGCAGGCTTCTTTACAAACCTCGTTTAAAATTTTAGTTTTTGAAATGTGTTAGCGCTAATGCTACTTCAGCCAATGATCACTCCTTGATAAGGTAAGGGCTTCCTGAAAATGAAGTTCATACTAGTAAAGGTATTGTGCATATAGTGCCATACTATCTATGGGTTTTTGGTAGTTCAGAGTGTGTGGGGTTTTTTTTTTGTTTTTTGTTTTGTTTTTTTTCAGTTCACTACTCTCAAGCACGCAGACTTACTATTCATTGTTCTTTGACTGAAATTTTTCAAATAGCTTTAGACTAGATTGAAATTTAAATTCAGGCTTTAGCAGTTCACTTTGTTAGATCTTCTTTTTTAATGGAAGATGTACAGCATCGCACAATAAACTTTACCTAGCAGGTACTAAGTGTATTAAATATCCCTAGATAAATTACAGACTGCATGATTGGAAGGGAGAGCTGTGTTTAGGATGTGAAGTTGTCTTTCGTAATACGTGACATAAATTAAATTTTATTTCATCTTTTGTGTTAGGGCATGTTCCTTTTAAAAAAAAAAAAACACCCACTCTTGAACAAATAGAGGAACTGATACTTTTCAAAATTTGCAGAAAGGAGAGGAATGAGTGATATATTAAAAAAAAGTTTGCTTTTTTCTAGATGTGGCAGACGACTATAATAGAATTGGTTCCTCGTTGTATGCATTAGGAACACAGGACTCCACAGATATATGCAAGTAAGATTTTGTTACTCACTCATGGAGGAATTTGCTAAGTAGCAGTCTCTAAATAGTGACCTGTGACTAATATCCCTTTAGTTGTATAATAAGAACAGAATTTATCATGGTTGTATTCGATTAAGAGATTTTCTTCCCTTAGCATTTCATTTCTGTAACATGAGGCTTCTTCAATATTTTTTTGCTTTAATATTTTTCTGGAAAGAAGAATTTGTAGAGAAATACACAGATGAGATTGAAAAATTCTCATACAATAGGAAGAAACCCTACACTCCTTATCTTTCACTGTTATTTTTAAACTGTTTTATGGTGTGCTTTGACCTGCAATAAGAACATGTCTGAGGTCTGAGTATACTGAGTATGTGTCATATGTGTCATACGTACACCTCATGTCTGAAGTTTGAGTATACAGATTTTATGGGTGCTCCACGTACCAGCATCTTGAAA